TCAAATTTTCATATATTTATATTTATATATTTACTAGAATTCAAATTTTCGCGCGCAAGCGCGCGCTTGACTGTAGAGTTTGCATATATTTTCATGCTTATGATATATTTGACCAATCACGTTACGAATAGTTTGATGCCACATACATTTCATCTCAATTTTATATTAGGATAATATTTTATATATATATATATATATATATATATATATATATATATATGAAAAATATATAAAAATGCATGTGGGTATTCAAATGAAAGCTTTTGATGAGTGTAACATCAGGATGAGCTTATATCTTAATAAACGTCAATAGTTATGAAAGTACAGTGCAATTTAACAAAATTCATTATTTAATCAATCAAAATTTTATTTATTTATATTTTACAAGTCACGGCAGTCACATAGTGACAAGGTAACTAGTTTTCAATATCATTCAGAAAAAAGCTCAATTTTTTCAAACATCCTGCCATTTAAATTTCGATAAATCAATCTATTTAAAACTTTATTAAAAAAAAAGCATGGCACTATCATAACGCTTCCTATTACAAGGCGTGCAAATCCAACAATACGCTTAAAACTCCAACTCTCACCAATTCCCTTATTAAAATTCGATTTCTCCCCCAACACGAACTTCCCTCGAAGCATATGATGAGTGTTTAACGATAAAAGCATTTCCATCCTATCCCGTATCTTGGAAAGCTGTCGGTCCATTGTGCGACCCTGTCCCTAGGCTCTTATTCGCCTATTGTGAATTTCTACCCGAGCTGTGGCCATGCCAAAAGAAGAAAGAAGAACTGAAAGCAATCTTTTATTTACGAGTGAAATGAACATTTGAACTATTCCACGAATGTTTTTTTCCGTTTATCTAAATTTTTATTCCGAATGGGGATGAGACATGTCTCATGTGGATTTTAAACCTCGGGACAATGAAACAATGAAAAAAATTCTCTAACCAACTTTTACTCAACTCTCAACGTTCAAGGATTCGTATAAAAAACACCAAGGATAAAATTCACAATTATACGACTGACATAACTACACATACACATATGTGTACGTAAATATATTTGCACACATTCCCTCCCTTGGTTAGCGCCGTAAAGTTCTAGCCTTGAAACAGATAAAAGCCGGAATAAAACTAAGAGGATGAGAAGCAATGGAGCTCGTGGAAATGTGTACCAAGTATGTGTTCCAGAATTCAGAGTACATTCGTCTTCAGAAGCTGTACATACACAGCAGATGGAGCTGGCTGTCTGTCTCTTGGTCTGGGTGTGTATTACTTTTGGCTCTAAGCCTATGTTATAGCGCACAGAGTACTTTCTAGCTGTATTAGGTTATGTTATGTTTCAGTTCTGCTTCTACTTTGAGATGTTTACGATCAGCTCGAGCGGATCTCAGTAAGACTGTCATTCGCACACAAGACACCTGACTCGTAAATCTCAAGATGCAAATCTGTCAGCTGGATTTCATTACAGCGAAAAGTGTAAATCTTCTTGGATTTTGAGTGCTGGATAAATATAAATAAATAATTTAAAATAGAAGCGAAAATTAGAATTGATCAATAAAACGTGCTTAATGGGACGTGGATCGTGGTTAAGAATTTTTTATTTCATTACAGTATACACTAAGAGCCACGGAGAAGAGTTCAGCACGTCCATGCTACGGAAGACTCCTCATGTACTTTTTATTCTGCCTTTAGTAGGTAACGATAAGAGTTAACTTTCTTCTAGAGAAGAAATCGATGGATGGAAACTTTACAGCAGAGAGATTGCTAAAAACTCTTGATGGAATAATTGTAACTTTCGAGTATTGACTTTTCATTGTTAATTAAATCATTTTTTTGGGAGAATGTACTTCAATAATATCTCCAAAGAAGAAATATTTTTATGTAATGAAAACATTGGGGATAAAAGTTGTGGGTAAACTTTTTTTTTTTAAGTTTTTAAAATAGCGATGAAAGAAATTGTTAACTTTGAGGAATCAAAAGACGCTGTCTTCTTTGCAGTAGATAAATTACACTGTTCTATGCGTGTAAAAGTTTAAAGGACAGTTCGCTTTTGTCACTCTTGAGGAAACTTTAATTAAAAGTTTAAGTTTTCTGGATAACGTATTATGATTGATAATTGTAATTAGTACATCAGTTATGGGAGATGTTAATATTTAATGCATGACAGTTTTATAGACTTGAATTCTTAACTAGGATGTTAATCTCGAAACTTTGCTGGAGCTGGTCAAACTCAACGATACGCTGTTAAATTTTATTATTTTTTTCGAGTACTTTATATTATTATAAAGTTAATTATATTTTAGAAAGCCTGGATTAATAAGATAATTTTTCAATGAAGAAATTTAAAAATAATTTTTTTATTGATTAACAAAACTAAATAATTTTGAGCTTTTAATAATTACTAGCAACTTTGCAGTCACGGAATGACTGCCGTGACGTGAAATATAAATAGATAAAATTTTGCTTTATTAAATAATGATTTTTGTTAAATTGCAGAGTACTTTCTTAACTATTGACATTTTTAAAGATATAAGCTCATCCTGATGATACACTCATCAAGAGCTTTCATTTGAGTACCCACATGCATTTTCATATATTTTTCATATATTCATATATATAATATATATAAATATATGAAAAATTGATGTGGGTACTCAAATGAAAGGTCTCGATGAATGTAATATCGAGATGAGCTTATATCTTCAAAAATATCATTAGTTGACAAGATATAAGTTCATTTCGTAATTATTGACATTTTTTAAGATATAAGCTCATTCTGATGTTATACTCATCAAGAACTTTCATTTGAGTACCCGCATGCATTTTCATATATTTTTCATATATACATATATAATATATATATAAATATATGAAAATTTGATGTGGGTACTCAAATGAAGGGTCTTGATGAATATAACATCGTGATGAGCTTATATCTTTAAAAATGTCAATAGTTCTCAAGATACAAGGTCATTTCTTAATTATGTATCCTGGAAATAAAATTTTTCTTATTGTCTTAATAATATAGATTATTTATTTTTTCAAATTACAATTGTTAAAATTTAATGAAGCTTGTTAAGTATTAAAAATTGAAGTAAACTGATGAGATGAAAAATCTCATTTTCAATAACGCGTACAATTTCCTATTGAAATGTTATTTTACAAGTTGATTGCGTATTTCTAATCCCGCTTCTATAAACTAGACTATTACAGGTTGTTTGTGAATTTTGCAAAAATATGCAGAAATGCAAATTTGACGAAGCATACTATAGTAACCAATAAATTCTGCAAAGCGTCACGAGATTTATAAAGAAAATTCTCTGAAAAGCTTCCATGAATATTAAATCCCGAATCGAGCAACATAATCCCCTATTACATACAGTTACATGGAAATATAGTTACATTGTTATTATCTCTTTATTTTTAATTTATTATCAAATGAAAGATCCATCGCATTTTATTCCCGAGATACTAATTTCCTCTAACATGACGTTCCATCTTCATCCTTCGGGCTGTCCTATCCTATATCTCATCCCCTATATTACACATCCTACATCTAGTTATAGGATGCTTCAAGCTGTAATACCTTGCCTTTCAATCAATAAAATGTGTTCCTGAGTAATACGAGAGAAACAAAACGTGATGAATATAAATACAAATATATCTTGGGAAGGGAGTCCTGTCAAAATTACAGAGAAATCCGTTCAATTTTGTTTTTCTCCTGTCGACACATCATTTTTAGAAATGTAATTTTTGTATTACGCTATTAGGAAAGAAAAAGAGTTACTTGCTAAAATATTTTGAAAATAAATTTTCATGACGATAATTTTATATTTTTAAATCATAATTTAGTCATGTAAGACTACAAAAAATGGATTAAATTCAAAATTTTATTTTATCTACTAAAATTGTGCAAAGGTGTAATAACATTACGAAAATTTTTTAATGTTATTGATAGTTATATATTAATATGTATGTTTTTAAACTAAAATGTTATTAAATTTACAGAAATTATCAACTGTGCAGAAAAAATGTGAATTTTATATCGGAAAAATACATTATATAAACTGAAAGAAAAAATTTCTTTTAAAAAAAATGGACAATGCTATAATAAGAAATAAAATTATTGTTAACTTTCATAAACTTGATTTCTTGTCACAACAATGTCCGTTCTTTTCAAAATAAATTTTTTCTCTCAGTACACGGAAAAAAGAAGAATAGAAAAATTACATTATATAATATAACATAGCGCTCCGTATAAAAAACTGGAAAAATTACAGTTTCAGATTGTAATTATTACAGATTTTGTAAGAATTACATTGTAAAATGTAAATATTACATTGAAAGCTTTGAAAATTCACATTCAAAGTTTTAATTTAGAAAAATGTTATTTTGAACTGCAATTTTTCTAAATTTTTATACGAAGCGACGCTTATTACATGGAAAAAAGAAAATTTGAAAAATTGCATTATAAATAATAATAAGTGTCTCGTCGTATTCAAAACTAGAAAAATTACAGTTCGGAATAACATTTTTCTAAAATCAAACTTTAAATGTTAATTTTCAGAGCTTTCAATGTAAATATTACATTCTACGATGTAATTCTTATAAAATTTGTAATGATAACAATCTGAAATTGTAATTTTTCGATTTTTCTTTTTTTCGTGCCCATGTTCAATTTTATTGAAATTTTTACTCAGGTATGTTATTTTTACAGATTAATTTCTGTGAACTTAATAATTTTATTTCTAAAAATAACATTATTAAAAAATGCAATTTTTACATATCCATTTCTATAAATTTCACGTATGAATTCTTTCCGTGCAGAGCGTAAATTCCTGACGTTAAAATGACGATACAAAAACAACAATAAAGCACCTATCTTCACTCAAGCTGATGTTTTGCATCATTAGAGCGCGAAAATGATGTTTTGAGTGAAACTTCTTCACGGATGATAACGGAAGGATCGGTGGTGCTTTCGCGAGGAGGAAGTCTAAAGTCTCTCCTCAGTGTGCATGCGATTCCGTGGCTGGTAGTCCGACTGAATGTTGAACCAGACAACCGTGGCGAGCGGGGCTCTGAGGGGATCATTCAGTAAACAATAGCTACCACGATTCCCAGGAGATTTCAAAGCTTCCAGCTCACCTACTACCACACATAATAATACCACCACTACATGGCTGTTGCCATCTGTGACAGCACCCAACATTTCACCCTCTTTCTCTCCCGCTGGATTTATGTCGCAGCCATTAGCATCTTTCGGGTTGACTGAGTTCAGCTCGCCGCATAGGATAAACTCTGCAATTTATTCTCCGATTATAAATTAGAGCGTTAAGAATCACACTTGCTAATCCGGGACATTTTTATGATTGCAAGTCAATAACTGCTGGGCGCCAATTTTCGCTTCTCTGTAATGAAATCTCTTTGGTAACAACCCAAATTGATATCGAAGCGCTGAAAACGGTTGTTTGGAGCATTCCGGGCATAAACACTCACGTAAATCCTTAAGCAATCTATTCACGTCCCGGAGAAGGACAAATTGCCGGAACAGGAGTTAATCGGAAATAAACTTCCAAGAGGACTTGGTAAATCATCGGGTTGTTAGATTGCGAGAGGGATATCCCGATGGATCTCCAAGCTGAATCTTGAGTACACTTTGGTGAGCTTATTTCTTACTCACCATATTCAAGCGTGACTACTTTATAGAATGTCAATCATTTTCTTTTAATTAGACTTGTAGATAAAGTTTTTCCATCATGCAAACATTTAGAAACATTTTTTTAAATAGTACAATTTCTTTTTTCTACCTAAATATATTTTTTATCAAAGATTTATCTTCTAAACTAATAAATTTATCAATTTCTTGACGTAAAAACCTCGTAAGGAATGCGAAAATAATTGAATTGGTATTTAACAATCATAAGAAATTAATTTATTGAGAGTTTTAAAGCCTATTGTCTCTTATTTTTTAAACGCGGGGATATAAATTTGAAAATTCTAAATTTCTATAGAAGAAATAAACTAATTAACTTTTTTTCTCCTGAAAACCTTATACAGGGGTTATGAAAAAAATTCGTAAGTATATAATGATCGTTCGAAATGATTTAGCTTGATTTTTAGAGATTTATCAAATCTTTGAAAACACACATACTCCCAAATGGCTTATGTTATTTTTCAGTAGAGTTTAGTTTAAATTTTTCAATTTGTTTATTATTGATATATTAAAAACTGGTTTAATTTTGAATTTTGTAAATATCTCAAATAAAAATTTATGATTTTATGAGTTCTTTTCTTTATAATACCTTATATTTTTATTTAAAATTATTTTGATTTATTTTGAGTAAAGAATATAGATTATACGCTAAGATTAGGTAAAAAATGAATTTTTCAATACCAATATACGATTTATTAAGTAGGAATAAATAATTTGTTAAATACTACACTGAGAAAAAAAAATACTTTTGCTCAATTAACAATTTCTTGGCTCGAGAAACTCGCTGACGATCAAATATTCTATTATTATTAATTATTAATTTCTGAAAAGAAGAACATCAATATTTGGATGATAGATAAACAAAAGAATAGCTTTATTTAAATTAAGTAAAAATTATTTCAATCAATTTAACAATTTCTTGAGTTAAGCATGTATATTTTTGAAAATTTTCAAGAACATAAATTCTTGTATCAAGAAAATTTTCTTGATAAAAGTATTTTTTTTTTCAGTGTACTAAATAATTATTTGGTGGAAATAAATGGGCTTTAATAAATGATTTAATTACTATTACTCAATCTTATTGAATAGAACTAAATCCTTTTATCAGTGCAGTATCGAAATTTTCGATACTAATCAAAAAAATGAATTTTTTATACGTCGAGTATTAAAGCGCGCAATTCAAATTTCTAATAAATGTATAAATTTCATAATAATTCCTCAAAATGAGTCCGAAGTTGAAAGTCTTCAACTTGTGGGTGTTATTACTCGACTAAAATCTATTATTAACCCTCTAGTAGTTTTAGAGCAAAGGAAAGTTAGCTAACCTGAAATTAATCTCACAATCAGTAACTTTCAGGCTGGACAATCTGATGGGGAAAAATGTCGCGTGACAGTGGGCGAAATATAAACACCCGTCGATAACACTCGGCGTTCGTGTCTCTATCATTTTAAGGTAACCTTTTATTTTTTATTTTATTTTAAATTTTTGTTACTTCGATAAATGTTTTTTTTTTTTTAAATTGAAGCAGAAAAAATAAAATAATAATTGAACAAGTGAAATAGAAAGTTGTACTCACTGGTGGGAGGAACGAACGCGAACAAGACCTTCCAGAAGATAGTGAGTGAGTGCATGAGATAGTCCGCCGTAGATGGGGTTGAAACTCTACCCTCGGCGTCGGCTTCGGCGTCGTCGTCGTCGTCTCCCCCGCTGACTGTAAGTGCTTCCGTAAATTGTTCCTTCCACGAGCTCGTACCTGTTTTTTTAACAAAAGGAAAATCATTTATTAGAGAGTATTCACGACATATACATTTCCCTTATATATTGCTGTAGTTTATCGATATAAAACACTCCCTTAAGTATATTTCAGTTTGAATGCACTCCGATTCGAATTCGAATGAGTTTTATTTTTTTTAATTTTTTTTTTCCAACCCTTAGAGCTTCGCCGGTCTTGATTACTCCTAACACGTGATAGAGAATTCAGTAAAAAGGGAAAATCGATAGCGAATGGAAAGCAGAAAAAAGTACAGTCCCTTTAATTTAGTTTTTTTTATTTTTTATCGCACATTTACGCTGTGGCTTGGCTTTTTTATTTCTTTCGCTAATAGAGGGAGAGAAAAAAAAGACATAAAAGTTAACCTAAGAACCCCACGTGTACGTATAAAGCCAACTTTGAAATGTGATGGTATTGATCGGTCTATATAAACAATGTGTGTGTTTTAGTCACGCAAGAATTGGCCATCCTGTCATACGTTTTTACGAGTTTGCCAAATGCTCGGAACTCGAATAGAGTTAGAGGTGCAGCTGCACCAGATCGTTGTTGCTTTATGATTATGTTTATCAATAATGTTATCTGCATATTAAATACATATTTCACGGAAAAATATCTATATCTATTTCTGCCGAAAACTTATATCAACTATTTTTTACATTTTTATACTTATTTTTTTATATATTTTTGATTAAAATTAACTTGACTCAAGAGCCAAAATCTTGAACCAAGAATAACCATTTTGAAGAAAATGATTTTTTTTAGTCAAGAAATTATTCTTGATATAAGTAAATTTTTCTTATCTCAAGAATTTATTCTTTTGACTCAAGAAAATAATTTTCTTCAAAATAGTATTCTTGGTTCTAGATTTTGGCTTTTGAGTCAATTTTTTTATCAGTGTAAACACATAAAAAAAATTGAAATTTTTGCGATCAAAAATAGACAAAAACTAATTTTTGAAAATTTTTCAATTTTTAACATTTTTTACCATCACTTGTTTTGAATTTATTTTTTTAATTATGCAAAATATTTAATTCAATTGGTTTTTTTTAATTTGTAAATCAAAAACTGTATTTTTTGTAAAATAAAACAAAAATTGTGATTTTTCTTTAGATTTATTCGGCTAGCTAATTTTAAAACACCGCAATTTGGATTTTTTAGATGACAAATTTTTTTTTTTTCGAAATTCCTGATTTAAAGTTATAAAAAAAAGTCAGGTGAAAAAATTTTATAATTGCTTTATTTTAAAATTGAGCAGCTGTTTTGTTAAACGCAAAAATTTTAAAGAGTCAATTTCTTTTTAATGTTCTTCGAGTTCTTCAAAAATTTTATGTGCTTATGATAATTTTTTTAAAACCAAATTGAATTTTGAACAGTAATTCAACGACTGACAGTACTATTTTCTGCTGGACTTAAAATATCGCAGTATGAAGAATTGGGTATTCCGTTTATTGAATTTAAATAAAGTTAAAATCCTTGAAGCTGCAGAACCGATAATTTTTAAAATAAATTTAAAAATTTCAATTTCGAAAGAACATGTAGGAAAGATAACTTTTTAAAACAGCAATAAAAAGTGACTCAATAGCAGGATTATGATCCGTGAATATAAAGAGTTTTATTGTCATTCTATTAATATCTCGAGTGAAACGATGCATTTCAATAAAAACGTCGACAAACACGAACGGTACCTGCCAATACCTTTTCAGCGACATCCGCAAGGACTTTAATAACAATATCAATATTATTTCAGACTCTTGTGAAGGTGAAGGTTAAAACTTAACATAAAATCAACGATCTGACGAAATTGGTCGAGCAAAATTGCAGTACGAACAAACCAATGCCATTAAAGATATAAACATTAAACCCGGTTCTTATACACAGCATGTCCGCGTATCTAGGAACTGCAAACAAAAGGGCCGTCGGGAACAATAAAGAAACAATAGCAAAGTCCATTGTACTAAAAATTAAAGGGTGTTTTTTTAGTTTTTCTAAGTATGTTTCCAGTTAACAGACAATCTAACAAAGGCGGAGACTAAAAACTAAATCTTAAGATAATAACAATAATATCTTTATATAATAGAAAAAAAAATTAACTTGAATCAAGGAAAGAATTTTGAAGAACTTAATTTTATTGATTTGAGTATGACTTTTGTTAAATTGCGCTGTGCTTTCTTAACTATTGACGTTTTTAAAGATATAAGCTCATCCCGATGTTACACTCATCAAGAGCTTTCATTTGAGTACCCACATGTATTTTGATATATTTTTCATATATACATATATATAATTTTTATTATATATACATATATATAAATATATGAAAAATTGATGTGGGTACTCAAATGAAAGTTCTTCATGAGCTTAGTAATGTCGGGATAAGCTTATATATTTAAAAATGTGAATAGTGCACAAGATACAAGGTAATTTCTTAATTATATATCTAGAATTCATACCTAAATACCTAAAAAAACCGATTTTATTTTAATATAGATTTTCTTGGTTAAAGAATTTTTTTTTCATTCAAGTTAATTTTTTTTTCTGTGTATAATATTAATAGTAGACATACCCAGAATAATGGACGCATTGGCTCGCTGTACTAGTTTGTCAACGGTGTTCTTGAATTCCTTGGACTCCTTGATCCTAACTTGGGCAACTTTATTTTCGCCCAATTTGGGCTTGCCCATTATCGCCATCCTCTCCTCCTTGGTCCTCTCCTCCGGGGGCTTGAGTTCTGCAGCAGCAGCCAGTCCTGCCTCGGCTGGAATGAAAACAATTTAAATTTTATTAACTTCCTCGAATGGGTTCCAGATAACAAAACGCCCTTGACTTGGATTTTGATCTCCAATTCGAATCCCCGATCGTTAATAAAAAGCACAATACAGAATACAGAACAAAACGAAAAACAATAATAGAACCCTGTTAAATTCTCAAAAGCTATTTATGTTCACTATTGTTCTAGCTTTACTTCGCAATATCTTCCTACTGCACAATAAGAACAGAAGGCAGTTATCGATTCTTAAAATGATATGAATTATGCCTACAAGTACTACATCGCTTATGATTGCCGATATATAAGCCTACGCCAGTTCAAAATCATGTTTCATGTCTTCAGCAATTCAAAACTTAACTCAACCTTGTTTTTTATTATTTATTTTAAAACAATAATATTCATGTCGTCGGAAAAGTTTATACTCGAGACTGTGAACTGCTTCACCAAGTTTGTTCAACCCACTTCAGCCAATGGGCTAAAAATTTACACGAGTACGTGGCGTATGACCAGCGTGCTTTCTACTTCTGATTACGCGTTGTAGTCTACACCAACTGTTAACTTTCAGCGTAATTATGTTGGAGATCGATAGTCTCATACTCGCATTACTTGAATCGGGGTATTAAAGATGACTCAAGCTTGCGGTTAAATTGTTCTACTATTTTCTAACGTAATAATAGCATGGGTTGATGTACAATTTGCGTTATTGTATGCTTACGATGCCGAAGGGTGAAAAAAAATATTTTATTACAGGCTTGTGGTCTTGGAGCGTTTATGCGGGGGAAAAATTGTTCGATAACTTGATTTTTTTGCATTTTAATAAATAATGTATACTACTAATGTATATACACGCAAAGTTTTTGTAGTTTGAAGAACGTCGTTGGATTTTAGATAAGGTTCTATGAGAAAAAAGTTTAGATTACAATTTTATAAAGTTTACGTAGGCATAGTCTATTTTTGTAAATGTATGTTATTGAAGTTGTGAATTTTTTTCAAGAAATAACACTTTATGAAATATTTTTGAATTGCTTATTTGAAAATATTATCTTGACTTGAAAAATTCTACATTTTTTATCAAAGGTATAATATCGGAAGATAAAATTAAATTTTTTATTAAAAAACACAATTGTCTAAAATTTTTGAATCAAGAAAATTGTTCTATTAAAAAGAAAGAAAAATATTTTTCTTAAATTCATTTTGAAACGTCTTAAAGACTTTTTTTTATGATATAAAAAATGAAAAGTCGATAATATTTTGATTAAACATTACCCCGCATAGAAAGAAATCCTTTGATAAAATAGGTTATCTTATTTGAAAACAATGAAGCGCTTTTTAGAATAGGTAAATTTTACATTGAGAGCTACTTTTCTTCACCAAGTTTCATGTACTTAATTTAAGAATAAATTTCCTAGATTTAGAAACCTGAAAGTAGCTTAAAAGAAAAATAAAATTGTTCTTGAACAAAGTAGTTTTTTTTCCGTGCACAGAAAAAAAAATTTACTTGAATCAAGTAAATAATTTTGAAGAATTTTAACTTTTTGATTTGAATAGAAAATTTTTTAGACTAAAAAATTTCTCTTGGTTTAAGTGAATTTTCTTAATTCAAGAATTTTTTGCCTTAATTCAAAACAATGAAGCTTCAAAATTATTTTCTTAGTTCAAGAATCTTCCTTTTGATTTAAGATAATTTTTTTTTTCAGTGCAAAGTTTAAAATATAAATGAAAAATGAATATTTTCAATTTATCAAAACTTCAAAATTTTTTCAGTTGAAAAAAACAATAACATTTTAGTTAGCAGCTCATTTTTTATTAGAATGTGATTTCGACACCTAATGTCCACCTACTAAAAAAAAATTCAAAGGAAGGGAGACAGAAGGGGAGCTATACATTATTCATTGAAGGGGAATTTCTCGCAAGAGGGGATCTTTCAGTGCAGAGCACAGATAACCGAAAAAATAATCCAGTTAAGATGACCTGAGAGCACAACAGAAATACATTTTCTGCTGATCAGATCCTCATAAATTCTAGCTCATATATGAAGATGACAGGCTCCATGTTGTTTTATTTGCTCATTAATCCGCGTATTGGTTCACCTCAGCACGAGCCGATATGACCGCAACATTGATTACATTCTCCGGTTTTCTGTTTGCTGTGTACGCTAATATATACTTCTCTCCAATACAATCCAGGTGATGGCAAAAAGAAGATCGATAGTTGACATTTAAAAGTTCGGGGGCATAATCATAAAAAAAAAAACCATCGTGCTAGTTTGTTTTTCGTTTTTTTACCGCGCTTTTGTTGACATTATTTCGCCCCCGAATGTAACATGCTGCTAATTCCGGTGTAAAACGACCTATATTGGAATACTGTGAACTTTAAACTCTAAATTGCGAACAGTATATATAGGGGGCTCAACATACGGCAAACACTAACCGCATCAATCTTGGAGAAACTATTCGGTGACAATAGGGGCGAATGTTACATCTGGGGTGAATTATTGTTGTGGTGAAGATTATCCAGAGTTTCGGAACAATAGTACGTGTAATATCAGTAAAAACTTATTTTTTTAAGATAAAAATTTAGATTTATTTCGAAAATTTCTGAAATTAATTTTTTCACAAATTATTATACTGTATTCAAAGAATATCTTTTAATTTAAATGCTTGCATTAATCGACTAAACATAAGAGACCTTTTTAAGATCAATTAATTTCCTACCAAAATAATTAATTTTCATTAATTAGCGAATTAAAAATACATAAAGTAAAAAAAATGTTAATTGTTGAAGTTTTCAAGCTTTAGCCTTCAATATCTTCTAAATGGTTAGATTTATGAAAAAAAATGTATTTTTTTGGTAGAGCTTTCAATTTTCTAAAAAAATATAAGTCAAGTTTTGTTGTAAGTTCAATTTTTGACGAGTTATGAAAGTATTTTTATAACAAAAGTTAATTTTTTTGACCTACTGTAATGGGTATAATTGTTATTACTATTATGCAGTGGGTACCGATGATTGGGAGAATCGATTTGCAGATAATGTTGAGTAATTACTGACACTCACGATTAGTCCTTGAAATCGGGGATATTGCGACCTTACATCATGTAACTATATCCCGCTTTAGTTTCCCTCATAAAGACAATGATGGGCCACAGTAAAGCATTGTACCGAGCTATTAATCTATCTGCGGTCGCATCGAGGCAGCTACTAGCTTGTAGCTTGTAGCTTGTACCTGCTCTAATGTCAATGTTTATCGATCCTGCCTTCATTATTTATTATTTATATTAATATTGATACTGTTATTATTATCATTTATCCTTTATTTAATAAATTATTTTTAGAAACGGATATCGAGTTCCAGCGGGAGAGAATGTCTAATTTATGGTTCTGATTTTTCACTTTTTAAGGTAGGTATTAATATTGTATTGGAAAAGTTTCATCATATTGTATAGAGTTAATTTTTTATTTTATTTTAGTCTATTTTATTTGAAAGGAAGAAAAAAAATTATTTAGCAGCCAAAACGATTTTTTAGAACTACAAAAATATAGGCAATTTTTTATTAAAAAAAAAAAAATTTAATTGAAAATTAAATTCTTTAAAAAAATATTCTAAAATTAAAGATTTAAAAAATTTGATCGCTTTAAAATGATTTTTCTTATTTAAAAAAATATTTCAGTGTAAAATTATTTTGTTGGTGTGAAAATAGACCATTATATATCATTTTCATAAAAATTCCAAAGCACTTTGTGAAAAAAATTGAAGATTTACATAAATCTATGTAAATCTCCATATTGATGGCACTTGAACCCGAAAAAAAACAAAGTTTTCTCTTAATAAATCACCAAAGATTATTTTATTTAAAAAAAAAACTCAAAAACTAAATTAGCTTTGTATAATTAGATTAAAAATCGTCAATTTTCCGAGATTTCATCATTGATTGCCTAACTCGCGATGAAAAATAGGTAAAAAAAAAAAATATTATCGAATAAACATAAAAGAGAAGATATTTCGAGATGAAATATGAGACAGTCTGATAATAGAGTGTAATTTTCCTTGGTAGGTTGTTTGTCACGTCTTTTTAGTCGATCGAGTGTCCTATATTTAGCTCACGTAAAGGGGATATTTTCTTGAATGTACTTCTTCAAACAAAAAGGAACTCTAGTTGTAGTACGAGGTCAGATACATAATCATGAGGACCCGGTAAATAAATGCTCTCCATATTTTTCGCTTTGAATCACGTTGGGTGCCGTTAAGACGGATAAATGAGACCGAAGACTGAATAAATATTTAATTTCAAACGACCTGGAAGAATCCGAAGAACCAAAATGGAGATGTACTGACTTTATATTTATATATTTTTAACATTTATATCTGATGCGTCTACATCTTTAATGCTTATACCAGGATTTGCAACGTCCTAGATATATCGGGATCTTATTCTTATATATTTATCCACATCTCTATCCGTAGCACTTTGCACTTTTTACTTTCTACTTTCCATCGAAATTCCTTCAGCTATTTCGAAATATTATTTACCTTTTTTCTTCATTTCCATTTCCACTCTCAAGTAAGACGCTTGCTTATTTTCCTCGGCTTCGCTAAATTTTTTTTTATTTCTCCTCAACTTTGGTTATTTGTCGGGAAATCAGCTTACAAGTACGCGAGATTATTTTACCGAGTATTTATCTGTTTAAATTTATTTTTCATCTCTCCAGCTTGTCCCTGTCCTATTTATTCATAAACATTTACTCATAAATAGATAAAAAAAAAAAAAATAAAAAATTGAAACGGCGTTCCATTAATTTTTTACTCGTCAATCTCTCTCCCTTTTCCGATGTCAGGAAAAACTAAATGAGATTTATCATCCTGTCACATAATGATAAAGAAATATTAAAATAAAACCTCGGTTCATTTAATATTAATTGTGTCTGGTTATTTGAATGCAATCTATCATATTTTATAAACTATTTATTACCATTAATATTCCATTTTATTAAATATAGGCTTCACCGTTTGCGTTTCAATGAATAAAATAGGGGGGAAAAAAAAAAAAACGAGAAAAATGATTGGTGGGAATGTGGAAAAAAAGGAATTGTTTTTAGCTAAAGCTTGGTGTGAAAAATTAACGGGCTTACGTTAATTTTTTATAAGCTCTTGAGCAACAGATTGCGTGAATTAAATTCGATATTTAACTAAAGTACGTGAAATTAAATCGCGAGAGGGAAAGTCTTGCACTTTAAATTCCAATATTTTTCTGAGCGGGTCGCTCCAAGAATTGCAATTCAATATATATGTATGTAAAGGTGTATGTATGCATATTTCATTAAAACTAATTTCATTTTATACAGTATTGCCGTGGGGTATTTCCATTTTGACGTTTTAATTATTCAACTATCCGCGTAGAGCTTGCACTCATAAAGCCCATGAAATTCAGATCTTTATATATTAGTTTAGCATTTTATTCCTGATGAAAACTACCTTTATACAATGGTGATATTGAATCAAATGGAGAATTTAAAAGAGAAATTAAACATTGCATTTTTGTTTTTAAACAAAAACGGAGCAACAATAATTAGTGAAACAATTGTTGGAAGAAGATACTT